TCTCCTCCCTCAGAGACATTCTCCTCCCTCAGAGACGTTCTCAGAAGCTCAGATACGTTCTCCTCCCACAGAGACGTTCTCAGAAGCTCAGAGATGTTCTCCTCCCTCAGAGACATTCTCCTCCCTCAGAGACGTTCTCAGAAGCTCAGAGACGTTCTCCTCCCACAGAGATGTTCTCCTCCCTCAGAGACATTCTCCTCCCTCAGAGACTTTCTCAGAAGCTCAGAGACGTTCTCCTCCCACAGAGACGTTCTCAGAAGCTCAGAGACGTTCTCCTGCCTCAGAGATGTTCTCAGAAGCTCAGAGACGTTCTCCTCCCTCAGAGACGTTCTCAGAGGCTCAGAGACGTTCTCAGAAGCTCATAGATGTTCTCCTCCCTCAGAGACGTTCTCCTCCCTCAGAGAGGTTCTCCTGCCTCAGAGACGTTCTCCTGCCTCAGAGACGTTCTCCTGCCTCAGAGACGTTCTCAGAAGCTTAGAGACGTTCTTCTCCCTCAGAGACGTTCTCAGAAGCTCAGAGACGTTCTCCTGCCTCAGAGATGTTCTCCTGCCGGGGTCAGTGGAACCTCTACCTGGAACATCTCGTTGATGCCCTCCCCGCTCTGCGCCGACGTCTCGAAGTAATGGAAGCCTCTGGACTCCGCCCACAGACGACCCTCGCCTTCGTCCACCACGCGCCGCTTGGTCAGGTCCACCTGGAAGCAGCAGAAGAAAGCAGAAGTCTACGGGGAACCTGAACCGGAACCAGAACCAGAACCAGAGCAGTGCGGCGTGGGCGGACCTTGTTGGCGCAGACGGTGAAGACGATGCTGTCCATGTTGGCCTGGGAGCCCATCTCCTGCTTCATCTCGCCCAGCCAGCCTTCCAGGGCGATGAAGCTCTCCCTCAGACCCACGTCGTAGACCAGCAGAACCCCCTGGCTGTCCTTGTAGAACTCGTTCCGGACCTGAAAACGGGTCAGAACCAGAACCAGGAAGCTGCTGCCACTGCTGCTGGAAGCTGCAGAGACTCACCTCATAGAAGAAGGGATGTCCGGCCATGTCGAAGATGTTCACCTTCATCTCCCTGTCCCTCACCTGGACCCTGACACACACAGAACCAGCGGGTCAGAACCAGAACCACCGGGTTAGAACCAGAACCAGTGGGTCAGAACCATCAGGTCAGAACCAGGACCTCCGGGTCAGAACCACTGGGTCACAACCAGAATCAGCGGGTCAGAACCACCGAATCAGAACCACTGGATCAGAACCAGAACCTCCGGGTCAGAACCACTGGATCAGAACCAGAACCAGTGGGTCAGAACCACTGGGTCAGAACCACTGGGTTAGAACCAGAACCAGTGGGTCAGAACCATCAGGTCAGAACCAGGACCTCCGGGTCAGAACCAGAACCTCCGGGTCAGAACCACTGGTTCAGAACCACCGGGTCAGAACCAGGACCTCCGGGTCAGAACCAGGACTCACTTGGTGACTCCGTAGTCGATGCCGATGGTCGCCAGGTACTTTGGGACGAACCTCTTCTCGCAGTAGCGCTTGATGATGCAGCTCTGAGGGTAGAAACATCCAGAACATCACTGAAGCTCACATTAATCATCCACATCAATCAGCCGATTAATAGAACAATAATCATTTTAATAAGCAATGTAATAAAACATGATAATATATGAAGAACTACTCGGTTATAATAAAATCACTCGTTATTTAAACAGAGTCTGGCGTAAACAAAACGTCTCGGTCTGAGACTTTGAAGCTTCGGTATAAAATCTAAATAAAATCCAATAACGGTTGTTTTTCCAGGCTGTCAGTGACTGATCCGTCCCTCTGGAGGTAATAACCGGGTTATGATGATGATGATCAGCGGGGTAGGTCCGTGTTTGCTGCGTCCAGCTGCAGGGGACCAGTCTCCATCTTTATTTGCTGTCAAATAAGCAGAACCCGGCCTACCTTCCCCACCTCCGCGTTGCCGAGGCTGATGACTTTAACCCGCAGAGACTTCTTGTTGTCTCTTCTTTTCGTCGTCGTTGTCTCCATTTCAGGTTCGGTTCTGACCCAGTTTTACGGTAGAAACGTGGGAGCTGCTGCAGCTGCTGCAGCTAACGGTGCTAGCTGCTGTTAGCCACCAGGAGGATCAGAGCAGGACTGGGATCAATCAGATCTGCTGAAGGTTTCATGCAGAATGATCAGTCTGCAGCCCTGCAGCATGCAACCTGCCACTTACAACCTGCAACCAGCAGCATGCAACCTACAACCTGCAGCCTAGAGCCTACAACCTACAACCTGCAACCTGCAACCTACAGCATGCAACCTGCAACTTACAACCTGCAACCAGCAGCATGCAACCTACAACCTGCAGCCTAGAGCCTACAACCTACAACCTGCAACCTGCAACCTACAGCATGCAACCTGCCACTTACAACCAACAGCATGCAACCTGCAACCTACAACCTGCAGCCTAGAGCCTGCAACCTACAACCTACAGCATGCAACCTGCAACCAGCAGCATGCAACCTGCAACCAGCAGCATGCAACCTGCAACCTACAGCATGCAACCTGCCACTTACAACCAGCAGCATGCAACCTGCAACCTACAACCTGCAGCCTAGAGCCTGCAACCTAGAGCCTGCAACCTACAACCTGCAGCATGCAACCTGCAACCAGCAGCATGCAGCCTGCAACCTGCAACCTGCAACCTGCAACTCCCTCTGAGCTCCGGACCTGCTGGTTTTAATGTCAGCTTCCAGGACTGGACCGGTTCTGGACCAGGATCAGAGCAGGACTGGGATTAATCAGAACCCAGAGGACTGTCAGAAAATGCAACTTTATTCTCCTAATTTTACGAGTTTAATCTTGTAAATTTTGATCTTCTTGTTGTGACTTTATTCTCTAAATAGAAAAATAAAGTCTCCATCTCGGCCCTAAGACTCCATCGCATGGATCAAACTTGTGTTTTTGTTCAGCGTCACATGATCAGGGGCTCCTTCCAGAGGAGGAGGTGCTGGAGGCCATGCAGGAGCAGGGAGCGCCCCTGCAGCTCCTCCAGAGCTCCTCCTCCCTGTGCCTCCTGCTGCTGAGACTCTATCCTTCCAGCAGCCAGGCATCAGTAGCAGCCTGGGTTGCAAGTTAAATTTCTGTCTTCTCTGCAGATGCTGCCTGGAGGGCAGAGGCGTTCATCAGGGAGCCCCTGGGGAGGCCTGGCCTCCCCACAGAGAGTCAGTCGGTCTGTCAGAGGTTCTTCCTTCAGCCTGCTGGTCCTGCAGCGTGTCTGTGGTCCAACCTGGGATCAGAAACACTAAGTTCTCCCGTTAATCACTGCTGACACTTTCTTTATTAAATGTTTTAATCTATTTCTATGCTTTTTTTTAGACATGTGTGAATTTAACGTGTTTTTAACCAGCAGTGAGGTGATGCAGATGGTTTGCCTTATGCAGAGGGGGGGTCTGCATCCTTTTATTCCAATAAAGAGACTAAAGACATGTTTGCTTGAAATGACCTTTTATTGTTTTTAGCTACTTTAGGAATAAATGTTTTCAGATGATCGAAGCAAAGATCAGACATTTTTCCTCCTCTCTGTGTGAATCCAGTCAGAAAGGTTTCATTCCAGCGATGAACCGATAACC